ATTTCACAAGTCCTGAATGGATTTCAATCCTATTTCCGCAGCTTTGTTCTAAGAAAAGAACAAAGAACACATGAGGACATCTTGTGCTGATCCAAACTGACATAATGATTCAAAGAGCATGTGGCATGTAAGGACAGCACAGAATGCTAATCTTTTGTAGGACTTGAAACAATATACAGGATAAAGAAAGCAAAACAGTTTCTCTTTCATGTTAGACAGATTCATCATCAGCTCTGTCCCGCTAAACAGAAGATGTATTAATGCCCGGAAGGAGGTTTTCTTTTCTTTCTTATTTCTATATGACTGTACCAGTCAAATAGGCACTTCTCTCTCTCTCTCTCCCCCAGTAACTCTAGATAAGTCAGAATGTAGACGTAACTAGATTTTTCCTAGTTATCTTGTAATCTGTTTTCAAAAGAGAAGTGGATAAAGGCACCTAAGATAATTTTCTTACACATTTTACTCCCATGTCGCCTAGTTGTGGGATGGAATTTCCAGCAAGGACACTGTTGTGGTCCACCAGCAGCCTGCGGAGGGTCCTGCAACCGATAAAGAGATGGGGCCAGGGCTATCTGGGAGTTATGTGCTGACTCCAGAACCTCCAGAATCTGACAGCAGCAAGGCAGAGAAACAGGGGGAGCCTGTTACCAGTGCATGCATGCACAGAGCTGCCAGAAGGCAAGAGCAGCTAAGACAAAAAGGGTGACTCGGGAGTAAGGCTTGGAGGTGACTGCCCATTCCATAAGATATAAAGGAAGTGCAAAGGGGCAGGAACCTTTGCAGGAAGCAATATTGTTTGCTCTGTTCAGATTAAACCTTGAAGCTGTGTGTGGACTTTGTACTTTGGCTTTTTACAGTTAATTTGGCACTTTAGTTGTTGGCAGCAATTCAAAAAGATAAAGGTGGGTGCTTATCTCATTATGGGCTGGGAATGAACATAATTCCCAGCATTGAAATAAAACAAGAGTTGTTTGGACTAAGTGTGTGCTTAATTACAGTCTCAGGAAGCCTTGGTCAGAACAGACACAATGACATCTCCAGAAGATAAGGGCTGACATTTTCAGCCCTGGAAGTAGAGAATAGATATTGAAATGTCTCCTCTTTCCTTTCCTTTCCTTTTTTTTTTTTTTTGCTTCTCCTTTCTGTAAAACAAAAACTTGCTGTTGGATTTTGGTCACTTGTTGTCCCTTGTCTGAAATGGAAGATCTCCAGGCCTACATGAAATAGCTGGATGTGCTATTCCATGCCTTAAAGGTCATTTTCTTATTATCTTCTAAAATGAGGTTCATCTCATACTATTTTACCTGAAAAGAATTTGACCATCTCAGAACTGCAAAAATGGGATCTGAAATGTGTTCATTTTCCCAATGTATATATTTTCAGAAATTCTTTGCCCGACTTACACAATGCTCTTGTGACTCTGCTGAGTAATTTGTATGACACTCGTGGTTGTGGGCACAAAGTTAATGTGTGATCCAAACTAGCAGAAGCTGGGGCCACAGGACAAATTGCCCCAACTCTACCGGTATTTTTCCAATTCATACACTAATGATATAATCTTTTTTTTCATTTAGAATAGTCACCCCATCTGGCTGGACTGACCAAATTCAATAAAGCTTTGGTGCCACATCAAACCAAGAAATTGGTACAATGACCCCTTCCTTGCAATATTCTTGCACATTACTGGAATAACATTAAATTATAAATGTTTATTATTTGGATGAGAAAAGGTGAATATAGAAATGTGTATTCTTGATGGGGAACTGGAAGTCTTTAGGTTGGGTATTTGTGAAGATCTATAAGGACACACAACAAGGCAGGAAAAAACAATACAACTTGTACACTAGAAATCTGCTTATAGCTGCACCATCATGGAGACAACCTTATCCCAAACTTATCTGCATAAGAATATATCTAGACATCAATCACTTAATAGAAAAATGCAATGTGTGAACTTGTTTGATTGAAGTCAATGGCATTCTTCGTATTTTTAATTTAGCGGCCTACAATTGGATCAAGAAATAGTCTGCTTTACTCAAACGAATGGACTATTTGGTTTATGACTGCTACTACCTTATTTTTCTTCTTTTTAGAAATAATTTCAGACCCTGGAAAGATTTCAAAAGTCCCATTAAATTGCACTTGTTAAAAAAATATTTCAATCCACTATAAACCAATGTATGCCATGGCTTAGTTGCCATTCTAATGTGATCTTTTTTCATATGATTTTTTAAAACTTGAATTGAACTCTACAGACCACAGCATTTTCTGAAGAAGTGCCAATGAAACATAGGGACTTTGCTGAGGTATTGTGGAGTAGTATTACATGAGGGATTATATGAGTATCCATTAAGCATCATGGAGTAAAACACATTTACAGTGCTTCCTTTTTGGCCTGCCCTTTCTTTGGGAAAACAATTGGATAATTTGTTCAGTTCTGATGAGTCAGTGCTGAGGTTTTTTTTTCTTTTGTTCTGATCAGCAAGTGGCTTTAATTGGAATCCTCTTTCAAAATAAATCAGCAAAAAATGAAGATGTGACATGAATCAACACAGTCCAGTTTATAGGCAAATCTTTTGAGTTTGGCTTTACTTTTACTTTAAAGCTGTTTTCTCCTAGTTGCTCAAATTGTACAGGTTACAACACACAGGTCATTAAGCTGAACCATACCAAAGGTGAAGAACTGAAGCCACATCTGATTGGGAAAGAGCTCCCTCATGATTCATTAACTGATTTTTAATCAACTTTCCTTTGGCAGGGAAACTCCGTGTAAAATATTGCTATTTCCTCCTTTGAAAATGTATTTTAATCATGGGAAATAAAGGAAAAGTTGTAAGTGTTTATCATTTTCAGTGCATCACACATACCCATCCCCACCTCCCAGGAACCAGAATGTAGCAAAATATCCATTCTTCGCACATAGAAGTTCACCAGACACGAGTTGCAAAATTAATTGCACCAGGATACAAGTCAAATCAGGGGATTTCCCTACAGGTTCTGCTTTAAAAAGAACATTAGGTAATGTAGCTTATTAACAGTGCAATCTTGTGCAGTGGCAGCTTTCTCAACTTGGATCTTCCAGGTGATTAGCAATTTAGGGAGTTAGTCTCAAAGCATTTAAGGGAGACCAGATTGGCAAAGATTTATAAGGATCCTTTCAGGTAAATTTAAATCAATAGTAACTTTCATGATCAACACACATAAAAGAGTAGCATGAGATCGTTGCTGACATTGCAATTCTCTGCCCCCCCCCCCCTTTCTCTCTCACATCCCAACATTGTTGTGGCTCTCTGGATAAATATCTGCAGTGTTTGAGGAAAGAGCACAACTCCGGTAGTATCAAACAATTATTTTGTATTGAATGCTGGATGACAATTTGTCAGGTAAGGATGTCTTGAGTTTGTTTAGATTTATATCCCCAGATTTTCTTCTGGAACTTGAGGGAAGTTGACGGGACAATCTTCTTTCCTTTCCCCTCCCCATGACATTTGAAAAATGTTATTCATAGAAGACAATGAACTTCCATGGCTGAGCTAGACTCAAAATTAGGATTCCCCAGTCCTATTCCAAGATCAGAGTACAGGCAGCTACATTTGGGTTTGCTCAGCCACATGAAACAATTCATTAACAAACACCTGAGTGAGGACTGGGCAGACCTTTAAATTTAAAGGCAAAATGTTTTTTGGAGCATGACCATAGTCCCTTGTTCCTCCTTAAAGTAGCTCTGCCTTTTCTTGGGATCATATAGCTGCCTTTCACAGCTGCTTTTAGTTTAAGGAGCTGTGGCAGATACTATGGGTGTATACCCTGAAATGCTCCAAAGCACCTTTTACTCTTTAAATCCAAGCTGGTGCACAACATTAATCTGAATCAACTATAGCACATTTATGTACATATAGTACATAAATGGCAAATGTGGATCAACACCAACTAATCAAGCCATCATTGCTTTCCGTAATGTCCATTAAACACAAGATTGGTGAATTGTGTCCGTCAACTTCAGCTGATAACCCTTCAAATGATGAAATACCAAAGTTAGAATGAGGGTGTGTGCAGCTCAACATCGTACCTTGCAAATCATCTCTTCAAATAGTATTATAGTGTGCATCATTGATAATACTCATGGCGTTTTTACCAGGCAGAAATTAACTTATGCCAAAACATTTAAATAATCCAAAGAATTTAGTCTTCTTTCTCTAAAAATAACACCACCAAATAATTAGCCCACAGAACTAACTCTGTCTGTCCTGGGAAACAATAGTGTGGGTTTGTTCCCTTCTTTGTTGGTAAATTGAAGCATTTCTGCTCTGAGGAAAAATCCTCACCAATGTTGGACTTCCAGCTATGCTTCAGACATTCTGCTAGCAAACACTTTCTAACATTTCGTGGTTCACAACTCAGTTTTTCAAGCATCCATTAGCGTTTCACAATTTTGACTTCTAACTCAGACGATCTGCAAGGCTGCTGCCCTCAAGTGGAATTAATTTAGAAGATCACCATTTTTAAGATACTGCATGCTAAAAGTGCAGTAGAAATAATGTATTTAAAAAAAAAAAAAAACAATTGGTGCCCAGAAAGACCAAATCTAAGCATTATATATTCAAATTACCATGTAAACATACTTTAATATACAGCTTTTTATTTTGACTCAAATTATAACAAAAATTAATGGTTTTATATTAATCAAAGTAATAAATGGTGACATGACAATCACTGATATTTTATGGTAATAATATAGTCAATATGGATTCAAGAATTACCAGCCCCAATATGCAACATAAGAAATCTATTAATTCTCTGAAAATGTAACCCTGAGGTTTTTTCTGAATCCTAGCACTATACAGATTTATACTTTAGAAAAAAGATTGTTCCTAAAAGATTGACATCTTTCTCTATGGACACAAGGCTGTAGCAAATACACACATTGCTCAGTGAATCAGATAATGGAGAAAGGATGATACTGTTTAGAGACTGCAGATATAAATCAAATTGTAACATACCTGTGAACAAGTGACTCCACATTCTTTAATCCTGGGAATGAGCTGATAGCCATATGTTCCATAAAATATTGCAAAAATCTGCCACATAAACTTCATCTTTGAGATTGTTAAGCTTTTTTTAAAAGTTACTCTCTTTTCTGGTTTTTATTATGGTGACTGTCCTAAAGAAAAGCTGTTTTACTCTGACAAGGCATTTAAATAGTGTAATAGTCCCATCCTCCCACCCCAGTACCTTTCAAAAGAACTCCTCCTTTTTCGTAGAAATCAACACTGAAGATGAGTCATAGGGAAGTTCAGTTGTTACTGGAAGCTATAACATATTCTAGGCTTTTTCTGAATTTAACAGCTTTAATTTTAAGTCAATTTTGTTTTGTTTACTGCAGCTACTATGTAAATATTTTCTTTTGTTCAATCTTAACATAATTATCAATTGATCCTTACAAGGACAGATATAATTGTGAAAGAACATTTGTTAAGATATAATAAGTAACAGACTTCTAACTGGAACTATTTTATTCTATTTTGATGCCTAGAGCTTATCTCAGGCTGTCAATAATATGCCACAGTTGTAAGTGAGCATGAAAAAAAGATATTATGGACCTGATTCCTCCCACTTGTACTTTTGCTCCTTTTTTAATGTGGTTTATGTTTTTATTCCCCCTTTTCCCCAAAGTCGTTCAAGATACTGTAAACAATTATTTTTCCCATCAATTCTAAATGAGCAAAATTTCTCATGAGTCAGGTTAGGGTGAGGCTGTGTCTGCCCCAGAGGTAAAGTAGAAACTTCAGTTCCTGAATAGAAATGGACATCTCAAATATTTTATCTAGAGAGCATTGGGACAGAGTTCCTTGCCCCAGGAGACTCATAATCTAATTATAAATGTATAATGTATAACCTCTGAATGGAGAAATTTGAGGTAGAAGACAAGCATTTAGTATGCTTAGTAAGCTATGCTTAGTAACATAATAGGAGATGTATAAAAGGGTTGATAGAGAAGATGAACTTTCTAAGAACTGCATTCCCAAAATATGCAAATATTGGTTAACCAAATCATGATTGAGTAAATAAATTTATTCAGATTTGTCCAAGACAAATTAACCACAGGAGCTGGATTTGCACATATGGATATACTTGCAAATTAGCCAACACCACTGTAATATATTGAACGTCACACAACCTCAATTATCTAGTTTTGCCTTGAGGCATTTAAAGATTTCAGACATTCATGGTTCATTGTACTACAAGAAAACAGATCCTACAACAACAGGGTTGGCCTTCAACTATTACTTAAAATAAAATTGCTAATGCCTGCTATAACCAAATCAAGGAGAAACATCTTCCTTATATGATAATAATATGGTTTCTTCATCTTATTCATTTTTCTGCCCAGGGAGCTCTCCAAATTAAAATGTAAACACTATTACATATTGGCAAAAAAAATCAGAAAATAAAATACAAGCTGAATAG